TTCCCCCACGTCTGCAGTATCAGCTGGAAGTGTTGAGGCAGGTAGTGGATCATCTCGACTGGGCTGGGCAGGAGCAGCTGATGTGGTCTTGCCACTCCTGGTAGTGATGGCATCAAGCTGCTGGAGCTGGTGAGGATCCCGAGGATTCGGGACAGTGGTGGCAGGCAGAGTCCCCGGTGCCCTGGTGGTGTTCTGGCGGGCCAAGATGCCCCCCTAGGTCTGCAGATCCTGCAAAATGGCACCCTGGTTCCTCTGACCTGCCTCCAGTGAGGCTACACTCTGGTCCAACCTCGTGATAGTCGCCTGAGTGCTCGTCATAAATGAAGCTAGAATATTTTCCAGCTTCGTCATCTGAGTATCTGGAGCTGGAGCTGCTGCTGGCTCGGCAAACTGGCGCTGGGGCTGCTGGAAGGGTTTCCCTTGCCGAGGCTGGTAGGGCTGCTGCTGTGGAACTGGCCCTTGTCGAGGCTGGTAGGGCTGCTGCTGTGGAACTGGGCCCTGTCGAGGCTGATAGGGCTGCCTCTGCTGAAAGCCACCAGCTGGTGCTGGGAAACCAGGTGGCTTGGTGGTGTTACTGCCCCAAGAGAAGTTGGGATGCTGGCGCCACCCCTCATTATAGGTGTTGCTGTACGGGTCGAGGCGCCGAGCATTGGCGATGAAGTCCAACTGCTCTTGGGGGGTAGTAGACTCCCTCGTAGCCTGGCAGTCTTCTACTAAGTGGCTCGAGCTCTCACACTACTGACACTGAGCAACTGGAGGTGTAGCCATGCCTCTGCCCGGAATAAGACTGTTGGGCTGCTTCAATGTCTGCACTAGCTCAGCTACCTGCTGCTCGAGCCCGGATCTGGTCTCCATGGCGTGTACACCACGGTCCCTGGAATGTCTGCCTCTGCTGCTCTGCCCCCAAGAATGATCTCTGGCAGCCAATGTATTAATCATCTGATTCAGCTTGGGTGGAGTCTTGGTGAGAACATCCCCTCCTGGGCATAAAGACTCAATCACCCTCTGGCTATCTGGGGAGAGAGCGCTGTAGAAGTTCCCCACAGTGAAAGCATCACTAAAGCCATGGTGGGGGCACTGCAAGAAGTAGCCCATGTACCGCTCCCAAGCATCACGGAGTGACTCATCTGGCTCCTGGCGGAAGTGAGTGATCTCCCGCTGAATCTCTGTAGTCTTCGATGCCGGATAGTACCTGTGCACGAACTTGTCCGCCAGATCGTCCCAAGAGGTGATGGACAATGGGGGCTGGGTCTCCAACCACCTCTTAGCATTCCCCGCCAGAGAATGGGGGAAGAGATGAAGGCGGATCGCATCATCGGGAACACCGTTCAGCTTGAACCCGTTTGTCAGCTGCAGAAAACGGGAAAGATGCACCCTGGCCTCCTCATCCTTCAAGCCATGAAACTGGATCGAGGATGTGATGAGCTGAATCCAGCATGGCTTGATCTCGAAGTTGTTTGCTGGGATCGGCGGGTAGAGGATGACCGGGCGGATGTCAGCAATCCGAGGAGTGTAGTAGTACTCCAAGGTGGGACCCGGCTGCGGTGGATGATGAGCTCCATGATCCTGGGGTATGGGATTGTTCCCCAGGACCTGATTCACTGGGGGAACCTGCTGTGGATTCCCCTGGTGTTGGTTGTAGTCTCCGTCCATCCCGGGCTCTTCTTCAGAATCGCTGCTCAGGTGGCCGTCTATGCGCTCTTCCGTAGCCAGTCTAGCTCGCTGTTTTCTCCTGAGCTGGCGACAGGTGCGGTCAATCTCTGGATTCAACGGCAGTAAACCTCCCGACTGGCTACGGGTCATGCACTACCTGCACACACTCAAGCAACAAACCCGTGAAGGCACAAGTGGGACAAAGAAAACAAAGCAAAAAGAAAAGCTAAATTAACAGAAATCACTTTTCTTCAACAACCTAGCCGTCCCCGGCAACGGCGCCAAAAACTTGACTCGACTCTACTGTCACTCCAGGAATTGGCCAAGTGAAACCACTTCCTAAAGCGTAGTATAGCGGGTTTGGGTTTAATTATCAACCCGGGTCCTAGATGTGATGACTACTCAGTGAATTCTTGTTATCTAGCAATGAAACTGGAATGCAAGTCTAACTAACAAACTAACAAAGCAAGTAAACTGTTGTATTCAGGTTAAAGAGGTCACCCGGATATGGTTCCCCCTAGACTGCAGTTAAGCCGGATTGTAATTACCAAGTTCAGTTTCTATGAAGATTATACTGCGGAAGGTTCTTAAACATCCTGAAGTCTCGACTAAAGGTCTTCAGACCCTCTCAATCTGACTCTCTAGCGGGAGACTAACCTCTACCGGAGTCGACAGATTGAGGCCCTAAGAACAAAACCTCCACTACCGGAGTAAATCCGGTACAGAATAGTGAGTTGGCTCCTCGACTAAAGTCACCAACTCCCTACCTTCAATCAAGGATACTCTATTAACCTAGGCAGATATTCTCATTCTAGGTTAAAGCAGAAACAACAGGAATTTGATCAGGATTCAAGTCATTCAATCATCAAAACCTCAATCGAATATAATCAATCACAGAATCAGTACTTGGGTTCATACAATCAAAGCCTAATATACAAATCTAGGGTTCTCCATACCCAGATGAATGGGAGAACTACTCCATAGAGAAGAAAGCAAAAGCAGAATCAGACACGGAATTCATACTGCGAAGGATAGATTCCTGCTTCTGGACGTTGATCGGCACTTCTCCAAGCTCAAGCTGGCCTCCAATGGTGTTGAAGATCAATCTAGGGCACTTGGGAACTCTTGCTCGTCACTTTCTCTCTCTAGGAACTGATCTCTCTCTCAAAAACTCGAATCCCCCTTGGATTGTGGCTGAAACTCTGCTTAAAAGCATCAGTGGCCAAAGCACGGTCGAGGGCACGGCCGTGCTTTGCCTGAGCCTGCCCATGTTTCGGCCAGTGTTTAATTACACGGCCAGCAGCTGGTTGAAACACGGCCGTGCTTCGCGATGTACACGGCCGTGCTTTGACTGAACACGGCCGTGCTTCGGTGCCCGTGTTTGCAGCTGAATCGGCCAAACTAAATTTGCTCTCGGCATAAAAAGCACGGCCAGCAGTACACGGCCGTGTAATGCCTTAGGCTGCCCGTGTTTTGGCTCCAGCTCACCGAAATGACTTCCGAATGCCCCGAAACTCGTGGTTAGCCTTCCCTTTAACGCCTGGGACCTGAAACATGACAAAATAGCACAACCCGGCGTAAAATAGGCCAAAACACACGACTATGCCCCTCAAACGGATAAGAACTAGGGGCGCAAATATGTGCAATTACATCGTTATCATGTTCAAATCCCAGTGGATTTACAAAAAGACGTGTGATGGTCAAGCAAATTGACTCTCTCTCCATTTCACAACACATAGCTAGATCTATAAATGATAATATATGAAAAAAGGATCACACCAAGGTAAGAAGGAACAAAGACGAAGCTAGAGCGACATCATGTTTGGAATAATGAGTCAAGCTGAAGAGGCACTGATTGTTTATATGCTTTTAAATTGGTATGAAAAAAGAGGTTGGGGAAGTAGTTGTACAGACAGACCCCATCTGTTTCAGAGTCTAACAGGTGAAACCAACCCCGGAGTCGAAAGAGGATCCAGCCAGAGTTCACGGTCCAACATTGGAGTTCACGGTCGCCAGGACCGTGAACTGGAATCACAAATCGTGAACCACGAAGTGTCCAGAGGGTTTTCTGAGGGTACTGACACCAAGTCAATTGACAGTCGCTAAGACCGTGAACTGGGTACGATCTCTGTATAAATAGAGAGCTGATAGGAAGAAGAGGGGGAGCCCAAACTGAGAGAAATTTTCTTCTTCTTGAAACCCTAGAAGAGAAAGTCACGAACCAAGAGGCAGAAGAGGCTAGGGTTTGCTCCAAGTGAAGATTTTGGAAGCTCCTCTTCTTTGGGGGATCTCTACAAGCACAAGGAGAGTTGGATGCATCACAATGATGGTTTCTTTCTTCCTCTTTTGTGTTCTTCCCTTGTCTAGCATGGAGTAGTTTCCCTTTTCACTTGGGTGTTGTAGAAACCTAACTACTATCATGTAATTGATTGTGTGGATTGAATGATTGTGTGATGGTGGTGTTTAATTTAAGAATTGAGGTATTTTTTATGGTGATTGTGCATTGTGTGTGCATGGCAATCTATTGTGCTATTCTAACCTAGATTAGAGAGAAGCCCCCTTATCTTAAGAGGCTCAAAATTGAGCTGGGTTTTCTTAGGCATTCCATGCCTCCTAACTAGTTTAATGAAGGGCAAACCTCTGCTTGAATTAGACACCTAGGTTAATTGTGATTATGCCATCCAAGCCTTGGTTTGAGGGAGAAGGTAAGTCAACCCTCAATTGCTTGGGCCAAGAGGGCTACAATTGTAGCCTCTAATGCTTACATTGGCCTAGCAATTGAGAGGATGGTTTCTAAACACTACGGGTCACAATTGCCTTGTCACACACTGATTCATTCGATATCACGGTTCATGGTAGTTAGTTAGGGGGAAGCAACAACCCGAGTGAAGCTTCTCACAAAGAGTTTTCCACCCATTTACTTTTCAAAGTCTTGCTTCTAAATCGTAGATTGTAGAGATTTCAATAAACAACAATCTGCTAGATAATGTTTCAAACAATCGAAGTAGGAGTACATGAGTCGGCCCGGGTTGATATTTAAACATACTTGCCCTATATTGCACCCATCTAAGATTTATACTTGAGCTTTAGGTAGAATTTTATTGTGATAATCGGAACGAGTCAATCATCTAGGTGTTCGAATTCCCGTGTATTTAAAAAAAAAAAAAAAACTTGTCATGGTCAAGCAAATTTGCTCTCTCCATTTTGTTTACCAAAAAAAAAAATTTGCTCTCTCCATTTCACAACACTTAGCCACATCAATAAAAGAGAATTTATTTTATAAAAAGGACATCATATAGTACCACTACACTTCATAGTCTATAAAATTAATACCGCAATGAGTAGAAATCTCAATGGTGTCATACCTAGACCAACATTGAGGTCCCAGATCCAACTCCAGAACTGAAACAAAAAGAGAAAAGAACGGACAAGTTTGTGATTATTTAATTTAATTTATTTTAATCAGACCCCAAAGCTTTGTGCGATTATTCTCCGTCGTCATCGTAAAAGGCATAATAGGAAAAGAAAACGTTTCCGTCTGAATTTTCTTCTTTTCCCCGTAATAGTGTACTGTGTGTTGTAGTTGCTGTTCCGTTTTCTCAAAATTTCTAGAACCTACACCTCATTTTCTTCCCTCCACTCCTTTTTCTTCTTCTTCCTCTTCTATTAAACTCTCTCCCGTACACGGAACCTCTCAAAAAAGAAGGGGAAAAATTTATCTAATCTTCCTTTCCTTGATTGCTTCTCTCATTCATTCCTATCTGATTCAATCATCCCTTTCTTCAAGCAGCTGTAGCAGCTAGCTCTCTTTTTTTTCTTGCTTCCGAGTTATGATCTGTCTTGGATTTGCAGCAACGATCTTCCATGGAAGCAGATAGGCAGAAACAGCTCTTCGACACCATAGCTAGCTCCAACTATTTCCTCTTCGGTTTCTACTGCTGGGATTGGGAATTCCTCACCGCTCTCCTTCTCTTCAGTTGCCCCGCCGCCACCACCATCTGAACAAACCCCATCCTCCCACCATTTCCATTTCTTTAGCTCTAGCTCTCTCAGATTAATTACCAGTTACAGGAACCAAAACAGAGTTCCTTTCTTCTTTTTCTTTTTATAGATTTTAATTGTTCACAGAGTTTTTCCCCCAAAATTTCCGGGGAATCTTGGTGGCGGTGGTGTTTTTTTTTTTAAATCGAGCGGAAAAGATGGCTCAGAGATCGGTGCCGGCGCCGTTTCTGACGAAGACGTTCCAGCTGGTCGATGATCCGGCGACCGACGATGTGGTTTCGTGGAGCGAGACCGGCGCGACGTTCGTGGTGTGGAAGACGGCCGATTTCGCCAAGGATTTGCTCCCTAATTACTTTAAGCACAACAATTTCTCCAGCTTCGTCCGACAGCTCAATACTTACGTAAGTTCTCTCCCTCCCTCCCTCCCCTGCTTTCGCCATTTTTTCCTTTTTCTGCTAATGCTCAGAATTGTGCGTTTTCGGTGGTCAGTTTAATTGTTTTCTTTGATTGGTTGGAAACGGTTGAAACGAGTCGTGATTGGTTAGGCAAATGATATTATATTATTATTTGAACCGAAAAATGAAAATTTTCTTTGGGAGCCAAACAGGATATTACAAATTGAAGAAAGGAAACTTCGTCTGTAATCGACTGATTGCGGAAAATAAGATTTTGTTCTTCGATTTTTTTTTATGCCTGCTTCCGAATTTGTAGGTAGTGGTTAGTTCCAGTCCAAATTTGCCTGACCCAGTAAGGTGATATATATTTTTGTAATGTCCAATTTTAACCTATAACTTAGCTAAAATTGTAATGTTAGGTGAGGGGTATTTATGACTTTTCCGATTTGAGCTAGTATATAATACGAATAATAATAGTATTGCATGTTTTAGGTGTTCGGGTTGTACTCATGTATAGGAATTTTAAATAATTTGACAAAAAAAAATAAAATTGAAACAAATTTTGTACTTTCATTTGTGATTATAAATTATTATATGTGTTACGTTATAGTCAGAAAATTTTTAGGGTGAAATGCAATTGTCACTGTGGTCACCCAAAAATATTGGGTTGCACATGAAAGTGTCATGTCCATTTATTTATTTGTATACTTTCTTGCTCCTCCCAATTCAAACACCATTAGAATGGGTCATTATTGGGCAACAAAATTCAATACTGACAAAATGGGGGGAGGAGGTTAAAGAAGTATGACCTGTCACATACTTTTATTTTTTATATATATATATATATACAAAGCCCCTTTTTGTTGACCATTTAAGCAAATTTTAATATTTAGCTAGGCTCCAAACTAAAAATTCCCCTTCATGAATCATGTGTCCATACATGCTAGTGGCATCTAACTACTTTGGTAAGTTGTGATCACGTTTTACTAAGACGCAAAAAGTCAAGCAGTCAAAATGAAGAAAACGAATATTCTTAAATTATTTGTTTTGAACCTATTGTCAGACAAACTTAAGGTCATATACCTAATTTTTAACCTTTTTATTAAATTTAATGTATCTTTTCCGAGATGATCAATATGATATATTATGTTTAGTTAAATCTATAGATGAACCAAACATTATTTATTTCATTTTACAACTAGTCGTCATTTGAAGTTTCTTCGCGTTAGTTTATCTGTTGTTATAAGAACCGAATCAGATCAACGGTTAGGCCAGTAGAACATAAATTTTATCATGAACGGTTCTATCGATGATTAACCACTGATTTTGTAACGGTTAACTTTCTGAACCCTAAACTACTAACTTTTCCAGTTCAACGTCCAGTTCAGTTCTGAAAAACTGAAAGTTTATCTATATTTCTTTGTCCAATTTTTTTTTCATTTTGAAGACATTTTATCCAATTTACCAAATAAAAAAATATATATTAATAGTGGACCTAAATCAAACCATACAAAATTGGGTAGATGTATATTCCCATGGATGATCCTTAACTCATTACAGTAAATAAATATCGTTATTATGAGTAATTGTGGCTCTCAAACCGTTCTTTTGGGGGGGTTGGTGGCAATGAGAAAAGAACCTTATAGAAGACAATATCGTGCTTACAATTAATTAGTGGATAATTTTGAATGGGGAAAGTCCCCTCACACAGTCTGGTCTGAAATTGCCGTCAGAAATATAAACTTGGACAAAATTTTCAATTGCGTACTAATTGCGCAAAATTCCAATTTAGTCCACTTCCACACAAAACACACATTCCACCTTATTGGCTGCGCCGATTTATCACCTAACCTCTACATCGACTGCCTGCCCGCCACGTGCTACTATCTCTCTCTCTCCCCACTGATCTGACGTCATTACTTGCGCAGGGGTTTCGGAAGATCGTCCCGGACAAATGGGAGTTCGCCAACGACAACTTCCAGCGCGGCCGCAAGGAGCTCCTCTCCGACATCCGCCGTCGCAAAAACGTCACTCCGGCCCCACCGAAAGGGGGCAGAGCCGACGGAGAAGGGAACAGCAACAACGACGGCGGCGACAACAATAACAACAACAACAACAACTCCTCGTCGCACTCCGGCGAGGACATGGGATCCAGCTCGACGTCCTCACCTGATTCGAAGAATCCGGGGTCGACGGTGGAGACTGCGGCGGCAACGGTCACGACGACGACGACGCAATTCGCGGAGTTGTCCGGTGAGAACGAGAAGCTGAAGAAGGACAACGAGCTGCTGAGCTCGGAGCTGGCGCAGGCGAAGAAGCAGTGCCACGAGCTGATTTCCTTCCTGACGGGTTATGTCAAGGTCGGGCCGGAGCAGATCCACCGCATCATGCGGCAAGGGGAAGCTTGCTCCTGGTCCAGCAGCGATGAAGTTGCGCTGGCGGCCGGCGGTGCGGCGGCGGAGGGCGACGGGCGCCAAGATGATGATGAAGAAAACGGGACATCGGAGGAATACGGTGATAACGACGAAGAAAGCGGCGGCGGCGGCGGTCTGAAGCTGTTCGGGGTGCTGGTGAAGTGCAACGCGCCGAACAAGAAGAAGAGGGGGCGGTCCGGCGAAGAAATTGGGTTCGGTGGTGCTGGGCTTCACGCGAAGGAAATCAAGATATGCAACTGAAGGAGGAAGAATTGGGGAAAGTAAAAATAATATGGGCTGGGTGCTCGCGGTGGTTTTGGTGGGCCTGGCCCATATATGATCTGTAGTGTTTGGATTAAAGGGAAACCAGGTAGAAAGGGTGAGAAAGAAAGAAGTGAAGAAGGGTCTAGAATAATGAAGGTGTTTTTCATCACTTTTATTGTTTTTGAACTTTTGGAACTCTGTGCAGTAAATTGTCATAAATAAGTATTACAACACATGGCATCTGATAATGGATCTTCAGCGTCATGTTACTACACTGAAATTTACCCAATTTGTGTTAGCGGCAAAATTACACGTTTGGTCAGTCGAATTATACAAATCTTTTACGTTTGCCATCCGAATTACTTTTCTTTCTTATTCGCCACTAACTTTACGAATTGTTTCATCTTTAGTCACCGGACGTTACACTCCATTAAAATCGTCATATGTGGCAGTTAACCATAAAGTTTGACCGTTAACTAGATGACATGGTGTAACACCCTAACCCGGCCGGGTAATACTTTTACTAAAATGCCCTTGATAAATAAAATACTCAAATCTTGAATTGCAGCGGGAAAATTTTCATAAATAAAATACTGAAAACACACACTTGTAGCTCAAAGCAAAGCCCTAACACGTGGGCAAATTAAACTCAAACTTTAAAAATCTCAACTCTTAAAACTGTATGGGAGTAGTTGTTACTCTCCATTCTTAAAGCTTAAATCTCAACTTAAATTCTTGGCTGACACTGGGATCCCCCACTAGCTCGTCCGGTTTCCAACTCATACGTATGAGAAGCCATCAAGGTTTTCCTTAAACTTATACTTAGTTAGGGAAGTCGTAACGATTCATCCCCCTAACATCTTAAACTTATCGTGGTGGCTCTTCACCACGATTCTCAAGAGCATAACTGCTGCTCATCTTAAAAGTCTCAAGAGCATAACTGTTGCTCTGTCTCAAAGATCTCAAGAGCATAACTGCTGCTCTATCTGAAAATCTCAAATGGCAACGGACTGGCGCTAGTGACTAAAAACACTTAAAACGACTTCACCTTCTTGAAGGTGAGTTACTTCTTTAAAAGAACTTGTTTCTTACCCTTTAATAATAACTTATACTCGTAAAAATTTCCAAGTAATTTATAAACATTCACTTCAAGCATAGCTCAAACAAAATCATCTCAAATAGCACAAAATCATCTCAAACCATAACTCAAGCAAAGCTCAAATAATCAATCATACACATAACCAAGCAACGATAACCAATTCGCTAAAAAAAAAAACTTAAATCATATACTTAAAAGAATACGTAAGACGTAGAATTTACCCCCTTTACACTCACCTTATATTAATGGGTCGCCAAACGAAATCGTTGCTTGCAGGCGACTTGCTCATTGTATTCCCCATGGTCGACCCATAGCCTCATAGTAGTCGTCAATGGAACTTGCCCCATGGTTTCTAGACAATCAAACTAAGCACACCTACAGGAGGTTTACTCACAATCACGAATTCCCTTTGGAATACACCTTAACAATAATCATCCACTCTCCATTATCACCACCGTCCATTACATCAAGCGGTACTTACCCAATCTAAATCTTGGACACAATTCTTCCATGCAAGAACAATACGTGTCCACACGTCACTTAATCCCTTCCAACTGTTTTACATACATACGTGCCCAATCAAGCTTTATTAACCATAGTCATTAACACAATTACCGAGTTTAAAGAGGGAGATCCTTACCTCTTGATTTATATCGACGTTTCCGAATGGTGACTAGCTCGGGAAAGCTCTTTTCATTTATCCACAGCCGCAAATCTCCTGCCCGTAGCTTCTATGGCAGCGTCGACCCCAGATTCATGTCTCTCTTTCAATCGCTCCTGATACCATTGTTGGGTATCCATCGCCGGTACATGTCAACTATCATCGTCTCTCCCTCTTAATCAAACTCCATAGCATGCCGTGAATTGATTTTGGCCCTCTCTCATGTTTAGTTCCATTCCTCACTTGGCTTTACAGTGCTCGTCGTTATAGCAGAACAATGGCTCGAGGCGGAGAGAGGGAGGAGATGTGGATCGATTTGTGGTCCTATTGGAGACGATGGAAAGGATTGGCGGCGGTTGGTGATATTCGCCTCCGCTCTCGCCAAACTGCTGTTGCTCCGCTTTGCCTCTCGTACTCGTGGAAAACAAGGGCGGCGGTGGGTTTTTGATTTGTGGCGATCAACTCCGCTCAAGATGCTCGGGAAGGGGTTTTGGTTTATTTTTTTTTTAATAATAATAATAGTAGTTATTATTATTATTTTTCGTAATCCGCGGTTGCAATCCTTAGTACGTGACCGATAATCCAACCGTTCACGTATTATGGTCGAACCATAACCCAAAGGTCGGGGTGTAACACGTGGAAATAAAAAAATAAAAAAAATTATTTTTCACCTCATTATTCCACTTACTTTACTTATATAATTTATCATATTAATTATGTAATAAAAATTAGTTATTTAGTAAAACATAATTAAAATACCTTATCAAATTATAATGTGCCATTAAAACAAAACAGCCAATGCTACCAATAACAATAACACATAAGTCATCGATCCCATGGACATTGTAAAATTATCTCCCCTTCCACATTTCTCAAGTGTGAACGAGTGATACAGGAGGAAAGAAGAAACGGTGGAGACTAACCGCTCTCCAGAATGTACTCCAACCACAGCGGCCAGCCGGCCACAAAATGGTGGCTATCAGTGTCATGAACCAGTTGCTCTCAATAACTCGAGTTGTTGGGAGAGGTTCAATTGTGGATCATATACCAACTAACACGCTCCCTCAAACGAAAGCCACTCAGAAGGGTTTGAAGTTTGCACAGGTCTGAAGACAAGAATACCATGTGCTTAACAAATGGGGTCACCAGGAATCGAACACAAGACCTCTCGGTCACAGAAGGCTCTGATACCATGTCAGGAACCAGTTGCTCCCAATAACTCGAGTTGTTGGGAGAGGTTCAATCGTGGATCATATACCACAACACTAACACTTAGCTTTCACGGTCACGGCCTACCTCCCCGTCTCGGTGACTTCCCTCGTCGGCTCTTTGCAGCAGCTGCCATTCACCGCCGTCTGCGCTTTCCTAATTAGCCCAACTGTGAGACTCCTAGAGTTGTTAGCTTTTGTAAAGAAATTTAAAATAAAAATATTATTTAATATTATAAAGTATTATACATGACTCGTAATCATATATTTTGTTGGTTGCAAAATGATTTTGTTACGTGGTTAGTTTTATGAGGATATGAAACAAGATAATGAAATATTAAATGTAAGGGAAAAATAGTAAAAATATACAAAAGATAATGTCTATTTATTAACCAAACCATTTTCGGATTTTTTTATTTTAGCCAAATCTATTGAAATACTAAGAATTAGCCAAATGCTTTGTAGCACGTCAAAGTATTAGCCTGTTTTTTGTTATCGTTAATAATTTTGTAACTCTTTTCTTAGTTAAAATGCTAAAATTTTGGAATGTTGACCTCCATGTGACTCTTCCAAGTCAGTATCATGTTGCCAAGTCAAAATTGCTAATTGGATGCTAACATTTAGCCTATTATTAGTAATTTAATAGGTTTGACTAATAAAAAGGAATATGAAGATTTGGCTAATAAATAGTAATTACTCTTATACAAATGACTCATTTATGAATGACTCATCTAAAAACTGTTCAACAAACAATGAATTTGCAAATGTCTACATTCGCAAATATCTACGTTTCTCAAATGTCTATATTTAAGGAAATGACTCATTTTGTAAATGACTCATGCAAACGACCCCTTAACATCCGATATTAGCTTCCAGACCTCCAAACCAAACTCTCATAGCAGAATTGCACCCACAGGCGCTAACAAATAATTCCAATTAAAACAAACATTTTAACGAGAACTAGTCGTACATTCGAACAATAGATGCGAACAAAAACATGTCAATATGCATTGTCAAATATCTATAAACTCATTTGCCAACTACTCAAACTCAAAATTGTAGGATCCTATACATTTAAATGGACGGGGTGGTGGATTGCTTTGAATGGGTATCGAAGGTGCTGGAGACTTGCTCGAGGGAAGAAGTAGAGGGATGGGCTACCCTTTTGTGGGCACTTTGGAAGGAAAGAAACGCACAGCTCTTTAACAAAGACAAGTGGCCTAAACAGGAAATTGTGACGCGTTCTCAATCTCTGCTCGCTGAATATCAAAGGTGTCAGGCAAATGATGAGTTTGGGACGGCCGAAGTCCAACCGCTATCTTGGAAAAGACCTCCCGAAGGCTGGACGAAGATCAATACAGATGAGGGGTTGCGACAGGATGGAGGAACAGGGCTAGGAGTCGTGATCCGCGATCACTAGGGACTCTTCATTGCTGCAGCGGCGAAGAGGGTTTCAGGCAACCAGAGTGTGGAGCAGGCGGAAGCTTTGGCCGCTGAATTTGGAGTGCAACTTGCCCATCAGCTAGGCATCTCCCGAGTCATACTAGAAATGGACTGTCTTGTTGTTGTTGAGCTACTGAAATCGTCATTGGGCTTCATGAACGAAGTGGGAGTTCTATGCCGAAGCATCCGACAGCTTTTGAGGCAGGCTGGTTCCCATACATGTATGGTGCTTCATACTAGACAAGAAGCGAATAAAGCGGCACATATCATGTCCAGAAGTGATACTCAATGGGATTGTCGAGAAGTTTGGCTAGATAGGCCTTCGATCTTTTTACTTGACCAGCTGTTGCTGGACGATGTACCTGCAGTTCCCTCATAATTTAATATAAGCAGGTTTTCCCAAAAAAAAAAGGATAAATGCTACCTGAAATAACCATTCCCCATCCCTTGCATTGCAAACATCCTTTCCCCCCTGATATAACGTAATAGGGACAAGTCTTCGCCTTGATCAGTTTTGTATTCCTTGTTTAGTCTTCCAATCCTACTTTGTGTATTGTAATTGCTTTGGGTATGAATATATCCTTGCTAATATCAATACAATCATGGTTGATAACCTTGCATTGCCCTTCAAATGATTGCAGTTGTATTAACCAATAAGACAGTGCAATGCGATTCTCAATATGTTGCAAATGATCTCAGGGTCAAGGGAAGTAGCATACACAACACCTCACAAGTCAATCAATGAGAAGCTAGTTTGAGAAGTTTAGTAAAAAAAATTTATGGCTAAACAGGGCAAAACCCATCTTTCTTGC